TTCGGCGCTTAATATCAAAAGTTGGCGCATTGAAGGTTTTTCAAAATCTTTAAGTTTGGTTTGGAGTAGACTTTGGTGTTATCGCGATCCATTTAAGATTCCAAGCCTGGGAATAGTTTTGTATGGTGATTTATGACTTGCACGCCGAATTTAGCGTCACTCTGAGTTGATTTGATAAGAACTGGACGCGCGGAAATGTTTTTAGAAGATTTTGAATTTATGTCGAATTCATGCGTTTTGGCGTCCGAAAAATTGCTGGGGCAGTGAGGCTTTTAATTAGGGGTGGGCATAAAATCTGAAAAACCGAATTTCGAACCGGACCGAATTAATTCGGTATTTCAGTTTCGGTTTTTTCGATATTTCGGTCTAATTCGATATTGCAATTTCGATATTTCTGTACGGTCCTCGGTATTGAAATTCTGAAATTTCGATATACCGAAATACCGATTTTTAAAAGACATTTTTTTAATTCTTACTGCCCACCCAGGCCATCGCCCCAGCCCAACGCCCAAGCCCATCTTAATTCTTGCGCCCAAGCCCAAGCCTAAACTCTAAAGGTTAGCAGGTTACTGGTCCAACGGTGCTCAAGAATCAAGATCACTTTTTCCTAAGAAGTATAAGTCTTCCTTTTTTTTTTGTTTAATTATTATGAGTCAAAAGTCAGAATATGTCAAGATAAGTTTACGAATTTCTAATTGATCAATTAACATGACTTAGAAAAAATGTGAAGAAGTAGACATGGTCTAGTCAAAGACTCAAAGTGCATACACTGCAAAATTAACACAGAAATCCTTCAGTTTAAATTCTTAGCAATTGAATGGTGGCAGAGTCTCACATAATTAAAAAGGAGAAAATCTTATTCATAAGGAGGAGAAACAGCATGTTCCAGTTCTACTGGCCATTTATCCGTTTCACTTCACGCTTGTGGTGCACTGTTGCTTACACCTTACTGCTTAGTATTGAATTTAGCATTGCTTATTCAACGATTATTAAACCGAAATCGTACCGAACCAAAATAAGAAATACCGAACCGTACCGAAATATTTTGGTATGGTATTTGGTATACACAATTGATAAACCGAATACCGAAATACCGAATCGAAATTCTTAAATACCGAACCGAAATACCGAATGCCCACCCCTACTTTTAATCCAAGACTTAGGCCATTTACCCACACATTTCATTTGGTCTTGGGATATTTTGAGAGAACTTTTGAGGGGGATTCTCATCAATATGCTAAGATAAGTAACTCCCACCCATTTTCAAGTTGATTATGTGAACTTTAGGTAGATTAAACATGGAAAAAAATTATGAAAACTTGTGAGATTTGTGAAGAACCCAGGATTTTGATAAAAATGGGATTTGACCACGAAAATGATTCTAGAATTAAGTAAAAATTATATATTTGAGTCCGTGATGCCATGCGTAATATTTAACATTGAAATGTTTTGAAATTCGGGCACTTGGGCCCAGGGGCGAATTTTAAGAATCTCCCATATTGGGTTGGATTATGGATCTAGAGGCTAAATTATGAACTTTTGAGTATTAATTGACTAAATTATTTAATATTTGACTAGTTTTGGATTTTACGACATCGATTTGAGGCTTTTAGAGCGATTAGTGGATCGGAAGTAAGCTTGAAACGAGGTAAGTCTCTTGCCTAACCTTGTAAGAGGGAACTCATCCCCTTAGGTGGATCTTTATTGTGAATTACTTGTGTGGGAAGCTACGTAAGCACGAGGTGACGAGAGTCTGTGTGTAGCCATATTCCATGATCTGTCTAAGTAGACTTAGATCCATATCATGCTTTTAATTGTACTGCTGTGTTTATCATGCGTATTAATTGTCTTGAGTAGAGCTGAGACTAGGGATTTTAAAGTTGCAATTATCGACGTAGCCTTCTTATTTTGGAAAATTGAGGAATATTTAATAACTATTAAAAGTCCATGTCCTATTGCGTCGCAAGTACTTCCGCGACCGAGGTAAGATTCTCTACTCTTATGGGATTGGGCTGTTCGCCTTGGCAGTATGGTAACACCACTCTTAAGGGATCGGGCCGTTCACCTTGGCAGTATGGTAACACCACTCTTACGGGATCGGTCTGTTCGCCTCGGCAGTATGGTAACACCACTCTTATGGGATCAGGTTGTTCGCCTCAACAGTATGATGGTAACACTATTCTTATGGGATCGAGCCATCCGCCTCGGCAGTACTGAGTACCACTATTCTTATGGGATCGGGTCGTTCACCTCGGCGACTTCGTGCTTAATAATCGAAACGGGTTCTAGTTTGGTATAATTGAGCTAGGGTCTCACAGCCAGTTATGAGATGTTGGTGATGTGTTACAGTCTCCCATTGTATTTATTGTAGTTGCTTTTATCTATCTTATTGATACCCGTTGTATGTTCACCATGTCTACTTTATGCACTTTCAATATTTAGACTTGACCTCTAGTAAGTATCAAGTCGACCCCTCGTCACTACTTCTTCGAGATTAGACTAGATACTTACTGGGTACGCGTTGTTCTCCGTACTCACGCTACACTTCTGCACTGATGTGCAAGTATTAAGACAGGTTCCACCAGTGGTCACGCGGGCGCGTAGCCGATCGTCTACGGAGACTTAGGGATGAGTTGCTTGCCTTGCTACGATCTGCAGCACCGGAGTCTCCTTCCATCTTATTTACTATTCATGTATACTACTTTCGAACAGTAGTTTTTAGTAGTTTTGTATATTCTTCTAGATTGCTCATGTATTTGTGATGCCTGGTTTTGGGGATTGTTAGCACCTATGCACTGTTGTACTTGTCATTTCTTTCACCGCAGAGTATGTACCTACTATGTTGATATTTTGGTTTAAAAGCACTTATCACAGTTGCATGAAATTTAGTGTAACTAAAAATATGTTAAAAAGGGATAAATAAATAGTAGTTTCGCTTGTGGGCTTACCTAACGACAGCGTTAGGTGCAGTCTTGATCTAGTACGGAATTGGGTCATGAAAACACTTCTAGTCGGACTGGAACTCTCTTTCACAAACAATCTCTTTCCAATTATAGTGGAAACAGATTCGTAGGTATTATGTAATTTATTTAAGGTTAAACAACATCGATTCTCACATCTTCTTAATAATTGCGGTTTTTTTCTTGATGATGTTGGATCGGAGGCTTTAATTCATATATATATAGGGAAGGCAATGGCTGACTCTAGCAAAGTACGGACATTCCATGCAATCATCAGTCACGGAGGAAGACAACACAATCTTCGGGGAAACTCCTCCGGACTTCATTTTCAGTTCTTTTAATAAAGACAGATTGGGAACAATCGCTATGCGATCTATTTATGTTATGTAATAACTAGAATTCTTCAGTTTAATATGAAGTATTCCTTTCTTTAGAAAAAAAAATAGCATTCATTGTTGGTAAAGTATATAAAAGGTGACACTTCTTTTACTTTTTTAAAATTTAATTTTCTATTACTTTCTAGTATTTTTTGAAATTGAATTGCAAATGATGTTGATTGGACGACTCAAATTCTATAACAATACTTTTAGTAGAAATTAATTACTCATCGTACTTATACAAAGATCTTTCTTCTATATATGAATTAGGAATTGAACTATATCTGTTCAAAGTTGTGGTGGGTGATGCACAACTTGTTCACAGTTATGCTCGCCGAGTATAACTTTGAACAAGCGGGGAACAAATTATGCCTGCTCCGGCATAACTTCAAAATCTTATGTCGCTTAATCTTAAATTTGTACATTTAAAGATGAAGAGGAAATTTAAGTACTAGCCCTCAGAAAAAATAGTGGTGCAAATTCTTAGAATCAAAATGTAAAGGAAAAATACAAATTAAAAAAGTAATTTACAAGGAATACAACTTATTTAAATAAATTACAATTGCTTTCAGAAAATTTCATACATGCAATTTATTTTAAAATTTATAACTTTCCATGTCCCTAATATATCTCTCTCTCTTGAGATTGTATCACCTTAAACATATCCTTATATATCTATCTTGAGATTCTCTATCACCTAAAATGTATCCAATCGCGTTGATTTTTTTCTTCTAATTTCTCCATTAAAAATTCGAGTATATCCCAATGTACCAAGCCTCTTCCATATTATTAAAATGTACATAATGTATACTAATAATAAATATAGTTACAATATATTATATAGTATAAACTTATATGAAAATTTGATATTAGTATACAATAGTTTATGTGATGTATACATTACGAAAAAATCTGATGTATACTACAAATAAATATGCTATACAATATATGATATAATATAAACTTATAGCACATTGGTATACGTATATTATACAACATATCTTTTATTGTATTACATCACTTTAGTTTATCTGATTATACTATTAATAAATAGTAACGCTACGCGTCGTCTATTCGGAGTAGTTGTACCGTTCCCCGTTTAACCAACTTACCTCCTTTCTTTTACGTTAACTTTNATTTTAGCGTAAAATATTTAGTTTAGGTTTGGTATCATTATTCTAAATAGTGTTGACTCTTTTACTTTATTTTATCAGGAAAAAAATGAAAATTACAAAAAAAAAATATTTCCTTTTATTTAGCTAATTAATATTTTATCCAGTTACTTTTAATTTATCTACCTTGCATAAAATTCAAAAAAAATTCAAAAAATAAATAGTTCCCCTTTGTTTTCAGGAATATTATTTTAATTTTACAATGTTTTTTTCCATTTTTTATCTTTTAGTATGATATTTGAAAAATACCAAAAGTAGGTTTGTTTTAGCGGTTAGTCTTATTTTAATAATTATTTACTTAAGTAGGATTAATTAGTAAATGATGTAGTATTTTTGGTCTTGTTTTAGAAGAAATAGTATGAAATTTGAGGCTAATTTTGTTTGATCTTAATTGAAAAAAGCTCAATTTCAAATAGTCCAAAACATTAAGCCCATACCTATTCTCCATTCGACCTATCTTAATTCCTACTCCTATAAAATAATAACTAATTCCTAAATCCCAGAGGACCTAGACCTAGACTAAAACAAAAAGAATGGCAGCCATTTTTCCCCACCCTTGAGAGAGCAACAGTGAGTGAGGACGGGAGTTTCAGTCCAAAGACGAGAAAAATCTATTTTTCCAGCATTGTTAGCCTTCCTTTTCATCATTTTACACTACAAATTATATCATCATTAATCACAAAACTCACCATGTAGACTACCCGTTGTCCCTATTCTTCCACCGGAAAACTCCATTAACGTAACCAACCAGAACTCCGTCCCCGTTCTTCATCTCCATTGCTAAAATAGATCTCACAGTCACCTTCAGAAAACACTGTTAATCGCCGATCTACCTCTCAAAACTTTCGGTCCAGCCGAGATCGGGTTCGAGTTTTCCGTCAAGATTCCGATCGTGGGTTGCGCCTTGGTCCAATTCTTGTCATCAATTTTCGCTGCTGATTTTAGCCATTGATGGGTAAGCTTGTTCGGATTGTTCTTTATATATTGGGAAGCTTCATAAGATATATACCATGCCATTTACCATGCTGCCTACTTCTTTTGTTGAGAGGCCCGGTAACTTGTGAGTCTATTGCTAAATTTACTTTACTCTTTGTGTTCACAAATAGTTTTAGAAACAAAAATTGCAATGTAAATTAGATATTAAACAGTCTGTTCATTAACATGTGTGCTTTCCTGGATTTTTCTTAGAGTAGGGACCATATTAAAATAAAGTAAATAATCGTAGTGTCATACAAGGTCTTTGCTCTGATTTAGACATGAAATTAAACCTTTTGCACCAAGCTTGGTCCATCTCATTTGAACATAAATACATCTGCATATTTCCATTTGCCAAGTTCTATCGATAATTCCTTCACTCCAGAAGTTAAGGTGATCATGACTAGTTAGCAGTGACATTTTTTCTTGATCATTTCAGCATATAAATGAACATAGACGTCTTCATAGAGCTGTTACTTGCTGTAAGGGTGACAAATTCCCAATATGAGTGCGCGTTTCACGCGATAACCATAACTTCGAACAATAATAAAATACACATGTTGTAGATCGTGGGTGCGGTTCCCGTGACGCGGTGTGTAATGTGTACCAAAATAACAAGTGTACGACAATCGTGACTTATTCTAGAAATAACTCCATAAATAAATAAAAGCGATTATAAAGTTAAAAATGCACAATAGATTTAAAACATAAAATAAATAAGATAGTTAGACCAATTATCAATAGTTGAGTGACCGTGTTAAAACCACGGAACTTGGGAGTGCCTAACACCTTCTCCCGGGTTAACAGAATTCCTTACCCGGTCTTCTGAGTTCGCGGACCAAAAATAGAGTTAATTTTTCTCGATTTGGGATTTAAAATAAACCAGTGACTTGGAACACCATAAATTATTCCAAGTGGCGACTCTGAAAATTAAATAAATAATCCCATTTCGATTAATGTCACTTAAATTGGAAAAACTCCCTTATTCCTCCCCCCCTCCCCGGAAAAAAAGGAGGTGTGACATGACATATTGGGTTAGTTGGTTCGGGTCCGGAGAGATTTCAGAGAAAATTGAGACACTGAGTCTCTTAATCGAAAGCTTAAGTTGGAAAAGTTGACCGGATGTTGACTTATGTGTGAACGACCTTGTATTTGAATTTTTGTGGTTCCGTTAGCTCTGTTAGCTGAGTTTAGACCAATGAGCGTGTTCGGATGGTGAATTGGAGGCCCGTAGTAGAATTAGGCTTGAAATTGCGAAAGTTGGAATTTTGGAAAGCTTGACCGAGAGTGGACTTTTTGATATCAGGGTCGGATTGGATTTCTGGAAGTTGGAGTAGGTTCGTGGTGTCATTTATGACTTGTGTGCAAAATTTGAGGTCAATCGGACGTGATTTAATAGGTTTCAGCATTGTTTGTAGAATTTGGAAATTTGAAAGTTCATTAGGCTTGAATCCGAGCGCTATTCGTGTTTTTGATGTTGTTTTAGGTGATTTGAGGATATGACTAAGTTCGTATGATGTTTTAAGACGTGGTGGTATATGTGGTTGAGGTCCCGGAGGCCTTGGGTTTATTTCGAGTGGTTAACGGACTTTGATTAAATTATAGGGCAGTTGAAGCTTTTGACGACTGCTGGTGTAATCGCACCTGCGGAGTGGGCATCGCAGGTGCGAGCCCGCAAAAGCGGGAAGGAAAGCCGTAGAAGCGGGCAAGGCCAGGAGGAGCAGGGGTCGCAGTTGCGAAAGATTTCCCGCACCTGCGAAGCCGTAGATGCGGACTGGGAGTTGCAGAAGCGGAGGCAGTTGAGGGCTAAGTGACTTCAGCAGAAGAGGAACTTTCACCGCAGAAGCGGATTTTTGGTTGCAGGTGCGGAAGACTTTGGTAGAACGTATAAATATGAGGTTCTGAGATTTTTCACCATTTCCATAATTTTGAGCTTGGACTTTGTAGGTTTTTGAAGAGATTATTGAGGTAAGCTCCTTGTGTCCAAATTTCTTTAATAATGATGTTTCCCTACTGATTTTCCACCTAGTTGGTGTGTTTTTGAGGTGAAATTTGGGGGTTTGAGGCTAGGGATTTGGAGAGTGAATTTTGGGGATTTGAATGACCATTTGGTGTCAGATTTTGATAAATTTTGTATGGTAAGACTCGTGAGTGAATGGGGTTTCGGGTTTTATGACGTTTGTTGGATTTCGAGACGTGGGCCCGGGTGCCAGGTTTGAGCCGATTTCGGAATTTGGTTACAATTTCATATTTTTCTTGTGGAATCGACTCCTTTGGCCTATATTGATTGTATTGTATTGCTTGTGGCTTGATTCAGAACGTTTGAAGATCGATTTGAGAGGCTAAGACATTTTGGAGTAGAGTTTTGCTCGGATTGAGGTAAGTAACTGTTCTAAATCTGGTTTTGAGGGTATGAAACCCAAAATTTTGTGTTATGTAATTGTTTTGGAGGTAACGTACATGCTAGGTGATAGGCGTGTGGGCGTGCACCGTGGGAATTATGACTTGGTCTATTCCGTGAAACTGTAAAGTGAATAAACTTGTTGTTAGTTATATGCTATCTATGTGTTATAGAAATTTGACTATAAAGCACCTTCGAAACCATGTTTAGGCTATGTGTTGGTATTGTTGGGACCCACAGAGGCCGTGTTACATGTTGAATTGCCTGCTAAATGTTATTTATACTCAGACTCAGTTTTCATTCGTATATCATATCTCAGTCTCTATTACTCTTGTTGATACATTATGCCATTGCTGTTTGGGCTAATTTTTATGGTTTCTGAGAGCCCGAGATACTGGAGAGATTAATGACCGAGTGAGATCGATGGCCTGATTCTGAGGATATTTATGAGATCAGGCTGCACGCTGCAACATGTTTTATTGATTATGCCATGATTTGCTCGACATAATGTTTGGGCTATACGAGCCCCTCCGGATTATGTACACACTCCCAGTGAGCGTAGGGACCTACCGAGTACCGAGTTCTGAGTGATCATGAGGAATTAGTGGTTGTGAGGTTGGAGTGAATGAGAGGATTGAGTGATAGTTACCTTATATCACCATTTTGAAAACTTTTGAAAGATATTTTTATCCGGTTTTACTTGAACTTGGCGTAAACAAACTGATTTGACTTGATTTGACGGATTTGGGAAGCGTGTCTATTTTCCATGTTGAGACTACTAATAATTAATTATAACTATGTAGCTCGTCACTATCTTTCAGTTCCTTATTTATTATTGCTACTTACTGAGTTGGTTGTACTCATTCTACACCCTGCACTTCGTGTGCAGATCCAAGAATTTCTGGACGCGGAGGGTGTTGATATTTCGCGTAGCTGACCATTGGAGATAGCGAGGTAGCTGCCTGGTGTTTGCAGTCCTTGTTTTCTCCTTCCTTATCTTTTCTTTCATTGTATTTGAATCCAAACTGCTATAAACTTTTCATTTTTAGGCTGGTTAAGTATAGATGCTCATGGGCTCAGTGACACCCCGACATAGGGAGCTATTTTCCGCACTTTTCACCCCTATTTATGAAAACTTTGCTTATTTAAAATTTCTTGATTTGTTTTCTGTTATATTTTGGAAGTATCTTTGTAAATTGTCGGCTTGCCTAGTACCATCGATAGGCGCCATCACAATAGGTTAGGATTTGGGTCGAGACAAGTTGGTATCAAAACCTAGGTTACATAGGGCTCACGAGTCATGAGAAGGTTTAGTAGAGTCTTGTGGATCGGTACAGATACGTCTGTACTTATCTTCGAGAGGCTGTCGAACCCTTATGAAACTTCACATTCTTAGATTCTGGTCGTGCAAATCTGTTGATTCAGGTAACTAAACTTTTGTTATTTTACTCTCTCAGAGATGGTGAAGACACGTACTACTAGGCAGGATGGATAGCCACCAGTACCACAAGTCAAGGCCGTGAGAGGTTGAGGTCGCGGTAGAGGCCGCGGTTGGGGTAGAGGTGCAACTCGCACAGTAGTTAGGGCAGCACCTACAGATCCACTAGTTGCCCCAATTGAGGAGCAGGTTGAGCCTGTGGGGCAAGCTCAGGCACCACCTGTGCCTATCTGATTCCAGGCCTTCATGAGGACTTCGCTTAGATTTTGACATAGTGCACCAGTCTTGCTCAGGTGGTCTCTGTTCCGGCCGCAGTAGCCACTTCTTAGGCTGGGGGAGGTACTCAGACTCCCGCTGCCTGAACACCAGAGTAGGTGATGCAGGGACTCCAGACATCGGGGGCACTACCAGCCTAGCCGGTTGCAGCTGCTCAGGCCCATGTGGTTACTGTTATGTCCGAAGATGAGCAACGGAGATTGCAGAGGTTTGGGAGACTCCAGCCTCCATCTTTCAGTGGTACAGAGTCGGAAGAAGGTCAGGATTTCTTGGGAAAGTGTCAGAGGATTCTCCGTACAATAGGTATTATTAAGACTATTGGGGTCTTGTTCACTACTTTTCAGTTCTCTAGGGCTGCCTTCAGTTGGTGGGAGGATTATGGGAGGCGTAGGCCGGTCGGTGCAGCACGACTTACATCGAAGGAGTTCTCCGTTCTCTTCTTGGAGAAGTTCGTGTTGTAGTCTCATAGAGAGGAGCTACGGATACAGTTTGAGCAGTTACGTCAGGATGATATGTCTGTGACGCAGTACGAGATGAGGTTTTTTGAGTTGACCCGTCATGCTTTCTGGTTTGTTCCCACTGATAGGGAGAGCATCAGCAGGTTCATTGATGGCCTTACATTTCAGCTGCGGGTGCTTATGACTAGGGAGAGGGTGTCTGGTACGACTTCTGATGAGGTTGTCGATATTGCTCGGCAGATAGAGATGATCCGCAGCCAGGAGCGGGTTGAGAGGGAGACCCAGAGGCCTCGTGGATCAGGTGGTTTTAGTGGTGTTCCTTATGGAGGTCAAGTCTACCACGGCAAGGGTCGTCTTTACAAGCACGCTCATACGGCTCGTCCATTCACCGTGGTGCATCATCTGGCCATGGTTCACACAGTTCTCAGCAGGGTCACTCATCTATCAGTGCCCTTCTAGCTCAGAGTTCGTATCATGCACCAACAACTCAGGGTTCATCTATGCGGGGTCTTTCTAGCAGTTATCCCGGTGCTCCCTTCAGTCCCCATCACTCGAACAAGGGAGTTGTTTTGAGTGTGGGAGTTTGGGCTTTTGTGGAGGCAGTGTCCTCGTCGTCAGGGAGGTCCAGCGCAGTAGAGGAGTCAGGTTGCGCCTTCTACACCAGTTGCTACACCACCCGCTCAGCCAGCTCAAGGTGGGGCCCAGTCAGCTAGAGGTCGCCCTAGAGGGTAAGGCCGATCAGGTGGCGGTCAGGCCCGATTCTATGCTCTTCCCGCCAGACCAGATGTCATTGCTTCAGATGCAGTGATCACAAATATTGTGTCTATTTGCCACATGGATGCCTCTGTATTATTTGACCTTGGTTCCACTTATTCGTATGTATCATCGTATTTTGCTCATTTTCTGGATATGCCCCGTGAATCTCTGGTTTCATCTGTTCATGTATCTATGTTGGCGGGCGATACTATTATTTTTGACTATGTATATCGGTGTGTGTAGTGACGGTTGGAGGATTGGAGACTAGAGTTGATCTATTATTGCTTAGTATGGTTGATTTCGATGTGATCTTGGGTATGGATTGGTTCTCTCCATGTCATGTTGTTTTGGACTGTCACGCAAAGACCATAATGTTGGCGATGCCGGGGTTGCCACGGATTGAGTGGCAAGGTTCTCTAGACTATGTTCCTAGTAGAGTGATTTTATATTTGAAGGCCCAGCAGATGGTTGAGAAGGGTTGTCTATCTTATTTGTCTTTTGTCAGGGATGTTGGTGCTGATATCCCTACTATTGATTCTGTTCCGGTGGTGCGAGATTTTCCAGATGTGTTTCCTGCCAACCTGCCGGGCATGCTGGCCGATAGGGACATTGACTTTGGTATTGACTTGGTACCGGGTACTTAGCCCATTTCTATTCCCCTGTACCGTATGACACCGGCTGAGTTGAAGGAGTTGAAGGAGCAGCTTCAAGAATTCCTTGATAAGGGATTTATTAGGCCTAGTTTGACGCTTTGGGGTGCACCTGTTTTGTTTGTGAAGAAGAAGGATGGCAGTATGAGGATGTGCATTGATTATAGGCAGTTGAAAAAAATCACAATCAAGAACAAGTATCCGTTGTCGCATATTGATGATCTATTTGAATAGCTTCAGAGAGCGAGGGTGTTCTCCAAGATTGATTTGAGGTCTGGGTATCACCAGTTTAAGATTCGGGACCCGGATATTCTAAAGACAGTATTCAGGACCTATTATGGACATTATGAGTTCATTGTGATATCTTTTGGGCTGACCAACGCCCCAGCAACGTTCATGCATCTGATGAACGTTGTATTTCAGCCTTATCTCGACTCGTTTGCTATAGTGTTCATTGATGATATCCTGGTGGACTCTCGCAGCCAGGAGAATCATGCCCAACATTTGAGGATTGTGTTGCAGCGGTTGAGGGAGGAGAAACTTTATGACAAGTTCTCCAAGTGTGAGTTTTGGCTTAGTTTAGTAGCGTTCTTGGGGCACGTGGTGTCCAGTGAGTGTATTCAGGTGGATCCGAAGAAGATAGAGGCGGTTCATAGTTGGCCCAAACTGTTCTCAACTATGGAGATTCAGAGCTTTATTGGTTTGGCTAGTTATTACCGTCGGTTCGTACAGGGTTTCTCGTTTATCGCATCGCCCTTGACCAAATTGACCCAAAAGGGTGCTCTTTTCAGGTGGTCGGATGAGTGTGAGGAAAGCTTTCAGAATCTCAAGACTACCTTGACCACAACTCTAGTTCTATTTCTACCATCAACTTCTGTTTTTTATACAATATATTGTGATGCTTCTCTGATCGGTATTCGGTGTGTTTTGATGTAGTAGGGTAGAGTGATTGCTTATGCTTCGCGTTAGTTGAAGCCCCATGAGAAGAACTACCCTGTTCACGATTTGGAGTTGGCTAGCACTGTTCATGCATTAAAGATTTGGAGGCACTATCCCTATGGTGTTTCTTGTGAGGTAATTACTAATCATCGTAGCCTCCAGCACTTGCTCAAAAGAAGGATCTAAATTTGAGGCAGCGGAGATGGTTGGAGCTGCTAAAGCACTATGATATTATTATGCTATTTCATCCGGGGAAAGCCAATGTGGTGGTCGACGCCTTGAGTAGGAAAGCAGTGAGTATGGGTAGTCTTGCATTCCTTCCTGTTGGTCAGAGACCTCTTGCAGTTGATGTTCAGCCCTTGGCCAACCAACTCGTGAGATTAGATGTGTTGGAGCCCAGTGGAGTTCTAGCTTGTGTGGTATCTCGGTCTTCCTTATTTGAACTCATTAGAGAGCACCAGTATGATGATCCTCATTTGCTTGTCTTTAAGGACAAGGTTCAGCATGGTGATGCCAGAGATGTGACTATTGGAGTTGATGGGGTGTTGAGGATGCAGGGGCGGATATGTGTGCCCAATGTAGATGGGCTACGGGAGTTGTTTCTTGAGAAGGCCCACAGTTTACGGTATTCCATCCATCCAGGTGCCGCGAAGATGTATCAGGACTTGAGGCAACAGTATTGGTGGAGCAGAAAGAAGAAAGATATAGTTGGGTTTTTAGCCCGGTGTCTTAATTGTCAGCAGGTAAAATATGAGCATCAGAGACCGGGCGGATTGCTTCAGAGGATAGAGATTCCAGAGTGGAAGTGGGTGTGGATCACCACTTCGTAGTAGGGCCACCACGGACTTCGAGGAAGTTCGATGCTATTTGGGTGATTGTAGATTGGCTGACCAAGTTCGTGCACTTCATTCCAGTTGGTACTACTTATTCTTCGGAGGGGTTGGCTGAGATTTACATCCGAGAGATTGTTTGCCTTCACGGTGTGCATATCATTTCAGATAGAGGCACGTAGTTTACATCACAGTTTTAGACGGTCGTGCAGCGAGAGTTGGGCACTCAGGTTGAGTTGAGCACAACATTTCACTCTCAGAAGACGGATAGTTCGAGCGCACTCTTCAGATATTGGAGGACATGTTACGCGCTTGTGTCATTGATTTCGGGGGTTCATGGGACCAATTTCTGCCGCTCGCGGAGTTTGCTTACAACAACAACTATCAGTCGAGCATTTAGATGGAACCGTACGAGGCTTTATATGGGAAGCGGTGTTGATCTCCGGTGGGTTGGTTTGAGCCGAAAGAGGCTAGACTATTGGGTACGGACTTGGTTCAGGACGCTTTAGACAAGGTTAAATTGATTCAGGAGCGGCATCGCACGGTGCAGTCTAGACAGAAGAGATATGCTGACAGGAAGGTCTGGGATGTTGCTTACATGGTTGAGAGAAGGTTGTGCTGAAGGTTTCACCCATGAAGGGTGTTATGAGGTTCGGAAAGAAGGGCAAGTTGAGCCCTCGATTCATTGGGCCTTTTGAGGTACTCCATAGGATTCAGGAGGTGGCTTACAAGCTTGCCTTGCCACCTAGTTTGTCGAATGTGCATCCAGTATTTCATGTTTTTATACTCCGGAAGTATATCGGCGATCCGTCTCGTGTTTTGGATTTCAGCACGGTTCAATTGGATGGTGATTTCACTTATGATGTGGAGCTGGTGGTTGGTCATTTTGGACCGGCAGGTTCAAAAGTTGAGGTCAAAGGATATGGACTTTTTGATATCGGGGCCGGATTGGATTTCTGGAAGTTCAAGCAGGTTTGTGGTGTCATTTATGAGTTATGTGCAAAATTTGAGGTCAATCGGACGTGATTTGATAGGTTTGGCATCGTTTGTAGAATTTGGAAATTTCAAAGTTCATTAGACTTGAATCCGAGCGCAATTCGTGTTTTTTATGTTGTTTAAGGTGATTTGAGGATTCAACTAAGTTCGTATGATGTTTTAAGACGTGTTGGTATGTTTGGCTGAGGCCTCGGGGGCCTCGGGTTGATTTCGAGTGGTTAAACGGACTTGGATTTAATTAAAGGGCAACTGAAGTGTTTGACCACTGCTGGTGTAATCGCACTTGCGGAGTGGGCACCGCAGGTGCGTGCTCGCAGAAGCAGAAAGGAAAGCCGCAAAAGCGGGCAAGGCCAGGAGGAGCAAGGGTCGCAGGTACGAAGGATTTTCCCCACCTGTGAAGCCGCAGATGCAGACTGGGAGTCGCAGAAGCGGAGGCAGTTTTGTCACGACCCAAACCGATGGTCCGCGACGTGCACCCGGTACCTTACTCAACCGAGTACCAACATAACGTATCTTTTCATGTCATTCAATCATAAATAACTGAGCCGGAAGGCTGCCGTGAGATAAGTAGAATACAACATGTGATACCAACTTATACATAAGACATACTGGCCAATAAGACCAAAATAACCACTCGTATACTGAACATAGGCCAACAAGGCCATACAGTCTTTTACGTACATGACATCTGTCTACAAGCCTCTAAGAATACATAATTTTCATAAAGGTCGGGACAGAGTCCCTCCATACCAAACAATACCATACTAGCCAAACAAGCAACTCCGAAGCAAATGGAGCGCACCAACTTCTTCCGATGAACTGATAGCCTACTTGGAGGGCTCTCGACCTGTCTATCGGGACCTACGGGCATAAAATGCAGTGTCCCCAGGCAAAAGGGACGTCAGTACGAATAATGTACCGAGTATGTAAGGCACATAAATAAGTACATAACAGACATGGAAGAAATATAGAGTAAATGACTCAACCTGTAAGTCTGGATAACTTTGTAAATCATGAAATAATTATAGTGCCATGCATGTGTGTATGAATGTCATGTCATGCATATGTACATGTTACATCATCAGGCCTCTGAGGGCATCCCATCATATCATCTCGACCACTGTGGGCAAAATCCTCAACGTTTACTAGCTGATCAGGTGGTGGTGCATATATAATTCAGTAACCTTTTCCCATATCCCATATACATATAATATACATATATACGCGTATATAGCGCCATCTAGTCATGGGTCAATGTACATGTATAAATGAATGCAATGCATGAGAAGTACGTCAATAAAATCTCTTTGGAATGTCATAAGACCATTATGCCTTTGATTAATATCATGAAATAAACTTTATCAACTTACGTACTTTCTGAGACCATGAACAGATGATAGAATAATATGACACATGGGGAATCAAGAACATAAGCATCTCTAGTATTTTTATGAATAGAGTCATTTATGGAAATTGTGCATTTGCTTGTTTCGTTTGTGTCGTATAGATCATGCCAAAAAGAAAGAAGGGATAGCCTCAACATACCTGAGCCGATTCTCTTGACAAT